CTCGCAAATCAAGGAAAACCTTCAGGCGTTTCCCTCAGGGGTAAAGCGCTTCAGTTTTGTCCCCATATTCTGATGACAAAAGGCAGTCAGTGTCACGAGTTTCGTTGAAAATGGGAAGGGTTACGTGGCGACCTGTCAACTGCATCGGTGATTCTACTGCGTTACACACTGGAAGGAGAGAACAGGAGAATGACGCGGGCGACACACTGAACGCAAAACTCCAGCTGTTCATACTAATGGATGTTCCCAGTTAGTTCTACTGCAAAGTCTGCGCGTGTTTTTATTCCTCTCAAAGAAGATGCCAGCGTGGTCAGCTGACGGGTGTTGTGCAATAGTAGTTTGGACAGATGAAACAGAGGAGAAATCAGTATTCGCTAGGTCAGGCGGGCGGAAGGATGCAGAGGAAGGGGAAGAAGTGAAGACAGAGGAAAAAATGGCGACACTGTTTCAAAAACGCACGTGAGAGAAGCCTGATGCAGTGTCCGGCTGAATGCGGACCTGCAGTCGCCTAAGTAGTGAGTGTACCTGGAGTGCCATGATCATCAGGTCAGGTTCCGATCAGTAGAACAAGACGGCGGGTATCAGAACAAGGGATTTATAGGCAGAATAGCCATAATTGTGGCCGCGTACTCAGCTAATGGCACTCAGCCCTAGACCTTGATAGCTGGGAGCCTGAGCCAGATCTCTTTACTCGGTGATCGTTAAAGCAATTACTGTACCATTTAGTCACCTAGTCGCTGTTCTGTAGTCGACGATTGCAAACATTTACCTATTGTAAGACGGTCTGTTCAGCTCTCTGCCTACATTACGCATCAGACTCATCCCGTTGTGCCTTATAGCCCATCCTACAATCTTAACAGGCATAACCGGAAGTAGTCAGGTAGAATTACTGCCGATAAGGGAGACTGGGATGGCCATTTCTGGCCGTCCACATGTAACTGCGCCTTAACACCCGATTTCAATAATTCAGCGCCTGAACCCAAGACTGTGTGCTCATTTGACGTGCATTTTAAGGCACGGGCTCATTGTTCTGCCTTCTTTGACGGATCTAAATTACTAGATGACATACGGTATCAGTGTGGCCTCTCAGGTTGTGGTATAGCAGCTCGCATTCGGTGAGGTTAGCCTGTGGTCAAGGGAGACCATATCGCCATGCAGGTAGTTCAAATTAGTGGACGCCGTACTGATACAATTCTTAGAACTTCCGATGAGATAGTATTACTGAGAAAAAACAAGGGAGACTGGAATGGCCACTCCTGGCTTATTAGCCGTCATCAGCCAGCCATACCCAACCCCAAGGTGTGCAATCTCGGGGCTCGATCATCCGGCCTGTTGGTTAGAGTCCAGCGCATTAACCACTGGACCACGGGCTCGCTGTCCTGTCGGTTGCGTTCGGGCTTATACAATGGTAGGGGGAGTCCCAAGGCACAAAAGGATAAGGGAGTTCCGTCACGCCATCGACAAGCGCCCCTCTACCAATGAGGAATTTACATAAATTTAATTATATGCGATATCTTCTTGCACTCCGCCTGCACTCCGTTTTGAGTTTTACCCCACCCATAAAACCCCCCCCTACCAGAATTCTCGTAGGATAGGGTTCACAAGCTACTTTCAGTTAGTCGGCGTCCTACACCCTACCGTTCCAACTCACATTATTGAGCAGTGCCCCTTTTTCTAGGAATTCTGCTCATCAACTTTTGAGCATTCGATCACGAGTCCTGTTTGGTAAAAACACCGAGGAGCCTCAAACAATGGTGACCGTCTGCTGGAGACCCTTTGGTTGTTGCTTTTATGTATATTTGGCTTTTCGGCTTGTGTATAGTAGTAGTAGTAGTAGTAGTAGTAGTAGTAGTAGTAGTAGTAGTAGTAGTAGTAGTAGTAGTAGTAGTAGTAGTAGTAGTAGTAGTAGTAGTAGTAGTAGTAGTAGTAGTAGTAGTATATTTAGGGCAATAGGCAATGTCCTTGATGACCCTCTTGAAAACGGTACATACAATGTAAATGTTAAATGTACACTTTACTGAAATTTTGCCAGTAACATATTTTTTACGGAAATCGTTTTTACAGTGTGGGACTGCCAAGGGTGCGACAGGCAGTCATTTCCATGTATATATGAAAGTTTAAGTGCAGTTATATACGATCAGCATAAAGTGCAGTCATTTGCATAGTTTACGAGGGGAATTTTCATGAAACGTCGGGGATGTCTTACATGGGAATGAAATCAGGAAAAAAAATTTATGACTTGCCGCAGATTGTCCTGCAATTAGAGTCGACGTTTATCAATGATCAAACGATCCAGCTGCCTTTTAAATACAGCCATTGTATCAGATGTCACTATGTCACTTGGGAGTGAGTTCCACGGTCGAACAACACGCTGTCCGAAGGAAAACTTTCGATGGTCTAGGCGTGTACGCTCCCGCTTGACTTGGTGCAGATGACCGCGCAGGTGATTCATGGTCGTGAAGTCCAAGAAGTCTTCAGAATTGAGCGAACATGCATGCCTGTGGATAATGCGGAATGTCCATAACACGTCACACATCCTCCGTCTATAGGATAGGGGTACAAGTTTAGCTGGATCAGTCTTTCTGGGTATGACAGAGTCCTGAGATTATCCACCAGTTTTGTGGCCCGTCGTTGCACCTGCTCTATGGCATCACTGTCTTTCTTCATCCAGGCACCAACCCCGGCGATTTTTTCAACCGGATTATTCGCCAGCAAAGAGGCTCAAACGTCATCTTCTTGTTCTACCACTGAGGAAGAGACTCAGTGAAGGAGAGCGGAATTTGGTTTTCTACAACATCCAAATCTGAGAGCGCTCATCATTCTTTCTTTGGACGGGCCCAATCCGGATGACCGCGCAGTTGGCATAGAAGGCGAAAGTCCTAGGCGAATCGAAACTACTTCTCTGACAGCCATAAATCGCAAGCCGAAAGTTCTATATACAAATGTGCAGAGCATGTTATCGAAAGTTGACGAGTTAAAGATCCATCTATCTGATCTATCCCCGGATATAATCTCATTTACAGAAACTTGGTTGAACCAGCAGGCGGACAACCGTGTGTTAACTATACCAGGATACCAGCTGTTTAGAAGAGACAGGTCAGGACGTCAGGGCGGAGGCGTACTCACGTATGTAAAACACGGGCTTATAGTCTCAGGCAAAACCAATAAACCTACGTGTACTTCTGAGGAAATTTGGCTAACTATAAAAGCACCGGGTTCGCCGAGCCTTAACGTCCTGACGGTCTACCGACCGCCGAGAAATGATCCCAAGCGGACGCCCGTCTGATTGAGGACCTGGAGGGATTCTCTATCCGGTGCGAAGTCTTAATCATGGGGACTTCAACGCACATCTTTTCGACTGGAGTTCAGCCCTATGCATCTGGTCCAAACCATGCTTTCGACCGACGTTTGCTGGACATGACGTTCAGGTCATTTCTCACTCAGCACGTCTCTTTTCCGATGAGGATGCGCGAAGGGCAACAGTCAAACTGTCTGGATCTGCTTCTTACGAAGTCACTGGACAGCATTGATGAGGTGCAATGTCTACCTCCCCTAGGTCGAAGCGACCACGTCGTACTGTTATAGGAGTACTCCATTTTTTCTCTGCCCGAACAAGCCACCAGGGTTAGAAGGAACATTTGGCGCAGTGACTTTGCCCAAATGAAAACTGAACTAAACACCATAAACTGTGAATCAGCTTTTTCCGGCGACATAATCAAGGATTGGGACTGGTTTATTGAGTTGTTGCACGTTCTTCTCAAAGACTACTGTCCTATCTCACGGAAGAAACTGAACAGCAGACCCCCGTGGCTAACACAAGCTTTAAAAAAGAAGTGAATAAAAAGCGGAGATTATGGAGGGCATTCCTCTCGGATAGGAGGTCTGTGTCGATAAATGCATACAAGGCACAGAGGAACCTAGTTAAGAGGTTAATCCTCGGGACGCCGTATACTCTCTAGAAAGACCTTCTGAATCGAGCCGCAGAAAATCCGAAGTTATTCTATAGGAAGAAGCACACGAAACAGAGACCCAATCCCGTTATTGAAAGCTAGTGACGACCTAGAACTCAATGAAGACGGAAAAAAGGCAGAGCACCTTACACAATTTTTAAGTCAATCTTTATGAAGGAAAGCGTATTTCTTTCTCCAGACTGCGACATGGTGGACGGGCCAACGATTGAGTATGTCTCTTTCGCCGAAGCAATTGTTCGCAAAGAATTATTGAAGTTGAATGAGTCTGAATCATCTGGGCCGAATGACCTAGCGCCAAAATTGTTGAAGGAGCTTGCTGGAGAACTATCTAAACCGCTGTTCATGCCCTTTCAAACTTCGTTCGAAGCAGGCTATTTGCCCGCCGATTGGAAATCTTCACGGATCACGTCAATTTATAAAGGCGACAGCAAGGTCTTAGTAAACAACTACAGACCAAACAGCCCTACTTCAATTTGCTGCAAAATTTTAGAAAAAATTAATTAAGCGAGAATTAAAGCACTTCCTAGAAGAGCCTAATCTGCTATGCGATGCCCAGCACGAATTTCGTAGAGGCAGCTCATGCGTGAAAAACCTACTTTATTGTTTAGATCGCTGGACCCGGCCAGTCAATGGCGACAATGCAGTGCACGCGATCTACGTCGACTTTAAAAAATATTTGACGGAGTGCCACATCAGCGTGTCCTGTAAAAATTAAACCGAACAGGCATAAGGGGTAATACTTTGAGGTGGATCCAAAGCTTCTTGATCGGTCGCTCTTAAATCGTCCACGTCGGTGACAGGCAGTCGACGGAGGTAGCGGTTGAAAGCGGTGTTCTTCAAGGCTCCGTCCTTGTCACCCCTTGCGAGGAGTTCGGCCTCTTGAAATTTGAAAATATGGCCGGGTCCCGTCGAATGTGCCGCCACCTGAGGGCAGGCGTCTCCCCCCCTCACTGCTGCTGCGTGCTCGGCAACTAGCGTACGAATTAATCTCCCTGTTCCTCCGACGTAGTTTCTTTGTCCGCAACTGCATCAGATACGATAAACGACTCCAGACGTTTCCTGCCGTGGCGGTGGGTCTCTCGGCCTCATTACTTGGCGCCTAATGGGTGATTGCAGTTTGCCCTCAATCCGAACTCCAAGTGGAGTGAGAAGACGACTGACGGCTTCCAAGACGTTCTTGATGTACGGAAGAGCCCGCGAAGATTTCGGACCGGTTGGATTTGGTCTCTGGTGTCGTTTTCGTATGCACTGGTTGACAAAGTTGCGCGGGTAACCATTGGCTCTCATTACCCGTCGAAGATATTGTAATTCAGCAACCTTGTCTTCCATTTCACTGCAGCGCGTCTCAACGCGCCGATATAGCGCCCTTACGCAATTGAGCTTGTGACTGATTGGGTGGTTGCCATTGAAGTTCAGTATTTGCGTCGTATTTGTCGCTTTCCTGAACACTTTGGTTTTTGGGCCACCACAATCTTTGCGGCAGACGAGGACATCCAGGAAGGCCAGCTGATTGTTTTCCTCCTCCTCCATCGTAAATTGGATGTCTGGGAAGACGGCGTTGATATGTTCTTTGAATGTCAGCATCTGATCCCGTCAGCAACAATAACAGTATCATTCCTTTTCATCTCACTTGGGGTGCTCTGATGAAAAAGGTCATCTGACCTTCCTTCAGGACAGATTTTAACTAAAGCGCCGGGATGTTCGTCCATCCTCGAGGCTGCCACTGCCAACCGTATGTGTCATATAAATGTCATTCGACATTTTGAACTGCATCGCTTAACAGTTTGACAGAATCACATTATTCTGATGTGGACAAATGGACGCTATCTCTTAAAAACGCGCCACTCACGAGGTTTCTAAAACTCCGCGGAAAGTGCAGGCTTTTGGGGGGGAAAATCTAAGACCTTCGACTTGGTAGCACCATTTTGCCTCGAATTATGGGGTTTTACGTACTTGGCTGAAATATCTCGTCATGATTTCACGAATGCCACCAGTCGTAGATTCGATAGGTGTTCATAGGGGTGGCCCTTGGTGCAAACTGCTCTGTTTGATGGAAGCGACTTTTTCATTTATTCATCTTAAAGGCCTTCATTTGATCTACCAGTTTCACATTAAGCATTTCGGAGGCAGATATCTCAGGCTAATTGGACTCGTTCTGCACGTGCATCTGACTAGTTGTGTTGTGTCAGTAGGTGATCAACACGAAATGTACAAACGCATCACTCCTCTGTAGGTTATACTAGGCAGCATGGGTAACTACCCACTTACCTGGCTGAGTATAATTACCAGCACACTATCAAAACATGACCTGGAAGGCTGCTTGTCGTGGGGGGCCGAGGACGCGTGTGACACGCGCAGACGGGATATTGAACTCTGGCAGCTACTGCATCCGACTCCGGCCGGGCTGACTCAGTCTCTCCACCAGGTCCAGGAGGGTGGGGGAGGGGTAAGTGTGTGTCAGGCGTTGCGCAAGTCTACCATCACCTAAAACTAACCCACGCGTAAGTAACCGCCCCTGCGCCCGCTTTGCTGTGGTCAAAAGTATGAAAGGAGTTAAAAATGCAATTGTAACTGTATACTTGTTTTAGTAGGCTCAAGAAATGCCGAAATATACTGACGTGAAGTAAGAGATTATCAGAACAAAGCTTAGGGGCATATATCTGATCCCTACCAAAAGAATTATCTCACCCCACCCCGTGGAACTGATAGTTGGCTGAGTTCAAAATGTTCTATAGAGAATTCAAAGTGTGTAAAGTGTGTTAGCAACCCTTGAAACATTTAACACAGTTGGCGTCTCTGGGTGGGGAAGCTACGTGCGGGCATTCAGGCACTCAGCGTTTAAGGGACACTAAGTATCATCCCACGCTGTGCTCTATGCGTAGCCCACATACCTCCCAAAATCGCCTTTTACGTGTGCGCTCTCCTATACTTCTGGATTTTTGAAAGGAGCTCATCGAGACCGCTTCTGCAATGGGAGCAATTTCCCGCAGATTTGTCTGTCAATCAAGCCGGCGAGGGAAACTAAGTTCACGCGTACCGGGCATTCCCATAATAGGAGACCTGTATCTTCCCGATGGACCTATATGTCTTCTGATTTTATTGAGCAGTTTGACTTTGGCCAAAGCTGTGGTTTTGTAGTGGCTCCACACCGAGCGCCTGTTTTAACACTCGGTCTCTCGCGGGCGCCTGCATGTGCGCGACAGGGCTGCCTGTCATTAACCCACTCGACCTTCCAACCGACCAATCGGATTTAAGGCCGAGTCCGACGTACCCTGTCTTTTACGCATTCCCCGAAGGTCACTCGTAGACGCCGCTATCGCGGCGTTGGGCATGTCCTCGTCTGGCTGCCAAATTCTATCGACCTCTTCCTTAGCAGTTCCGTACAGAATACAACATCCTCTGAACTGGCGCTTCATTTAAATAAGTGTAGTAGGTATTCTTTGTACGCCACATATGCTTGGGGGCCTTCACCCGACGCTTACCCTTCTCTTCCCCTTCGGGGCCGGGCCTGAAGGTCGTGGTCGTCAGGTTCTCGTTCCCTGCCTAGGCTTCTGCGATAGTTTTTCCAATGCTTCACGCACATCTGAGGTTAGCCTTAGGAAGTCGGTTAAAAAACGACTACGCAGTCAAAGGAGACGTTCATACCTACCGAGGTTACTTAAAATACGCATGCTCGACTAGCCTACTGCAGTCATCGGGTCTGGTGGCGTTTGGGCCAATCAGCATGGAGGGCGGAACCAAACAATGTCTAATGAGGGTGGCAGGACGAAAAGCGTGTGTTGTTTTAATGGACGAAAGTTGTCTGTCGGACACGCCAACATTTTATCCATTCCCTTCATTTTGTGCACATACAGTAGGTGGGCTAACTCATGAAATGTCAACCAGAATTTCAAAAGGCGTTCTCGTTTCGAAAATATTAATTAAGTAGGGTTGCAAAACTAATTATCATGCAGCATAAGTCTATAGTGATCCAGTTGCCTCAGGGTGTCGGCTTTCGAATGAACTTATTTCCGACTGCATACAAGAACTATACTCCGAAAAAATGACTACTTAAGTAGCGTGCAATTTCTCATTGATTTTCAGTGCTCTTGAAACTTCTATTATATTTCATGGGAAACATGCATAAAAATATTCGGCTAGATCGCAGTTCGTAGCCAGGGCCCGTATTTCAGATGACTGGGGGTTTGTTTACTGGGGCTATTTTGTGGAGCTCCATAATCATATCTGACCCATTTGGCTTCCGTTTTAAGTTTGAGGTTAGGATTAGGGTACCGGTTAATAGTTTCCGATTTTCGGGTTGGGGTTATGTCTTAAGGCTTCGGTTTCCTTGTTACGGTTAATTTTTGAGCGTACGATTAAGTTTCAGTATTACGGTTATGTTTCTCAGTTACGGCTATGTCTAGGGAGTACGGTTACGTTTACGATTTCGGTCAGTGTTAGCGTTGTTGTTAGGGTTAACAGTTAACGTTTAAGTTTGGGGTTAGGGTTAGGGTTAAGGTTAGGATTAAGGTTAAGGTCGCCGTCCGCTTTCCCATTCCTGGCCACCAACTGCGATCTAACCAAATATTTATTCTTTTACTTATTTAGTAGAAAATCACGTCTCTTACCGATTTTATACTCGAACGAAGGCTATAATTCGGTCGCAAAACAGTTTCTTATTGTGATTTTTTACTACTGTGAAATGGCCGTTCATAAAACGCCATGTATCTGCATTTACGAATGTGGTTTGTAAAGTTAACAATATTGCTCAAATCCACTGTTTAATTTTATGAAAACCCTATGGTCTCCTCTTAGTACCGTAGAGAAAAGCACGGTTTTCCGTACACGGAAAATATACGGTTTGTACCGACTAATACTCTTCTGACGAGTAGAAGACGTGATTTTCTACCGAATAAAAAGAAGAATGAATATTTCTCTGCACGTTTCGCATGAAATATAATTGAATTTTCAAGGACATCGAAAATCATTGAGAAAATTGCATGCTACTTAAGTAGTCATTTTTTCGGAGTATAGTTCTTGCATGCAGTCGGAAATAAGTTCATTCGAAAGCCGCCACCCTGAGGTAACGAGTTTATTATAGAATTATGCTTCATGATGAGTACTGTTAAAACCCTATTTAATTAATCTTTTCGAAAGCAGAATGTCTTTTGAAATTCTGGTTGACATTTCATGAGTTAGCCCAACTACTGTACTTACCGTCCGGTCGAAATCGACGATTTGATGTTGATGGACGGCCAGGAAGACTATGAAACTCAGCCTGGATCGCACTGGTTTCGTCAGACGTCGAAAGTTTGGAACAGTTTTGACTCCGAGGAGTCTCTAGTTCAGCAAGTGCTAAATCGGATGCCAGAGTGACTTACTGACCGCTTTTGCGCCATGCAAGTTTGTACATGTCCACACAAGAGGGCGCCCCTTGTCCAATCGGACGATAATAGTAGCGACATGCCCTGCACATGTATGCCCCATCCAAGCTAGCGGCGGAGACTGCAAATAAATAGGATAGTGTGGGGTAAAAGGGGAAAGCTTCGCGGTAGCTTGAGCCATTGGCAGGACGTAGACGGTCTAAGGTCGTCCGGAGTGCTTAATAAAAGGAAACCCAACAAGATGCCCTGAGGCAAACGGAAATTATGAACTTGTCAGGAACTGGGGCGACAGCTGCCTCAACCGTTAAACGCGCCTGTCCGAGGTTTCAGCGACAGTAAGTGATCATTAGACTGCTAGACAGCCAGGCGTTTGGATTTCTTTGCGTGCTCTTGGCGGGTTATAAGTTTGTTTTGACACTAGCCACTGTACCGTTCCGGGAACTTGGAGGGTGGTGTTGGGGAATTCCCCACGCCGGGCTCTAGTGCTGTTTATGCTGTTTATTGCTGAAGCTTAAAGCAGGCCAGCTTCCCTAAGAGTACTTTAATGACTTGGTCTTGGGAGATATGGGAGATGTACATTTTCCTTCCATAACTAAAAACAGTTACCTGGGATCTGGTAATTAATTCACCTTACCGCAAAATGGCGGTGACGTTCACCATGTAGGAGATCCTCTCGTGCGTGATTACGCAAGCACATTGGAAACTACTGTCAACATTTATGTTGAATGAGAATAAGTAGACAAGATATATGCACACTAGACGTTGTCCAGATAAACTCTTATTTCACGCCAATATATTTCGACACTTCTTGAGCTTACTAAAACAAGTGTATGACGAAAATCCTGTTTTTAACCGCTTTCATACTCTAGACCTCATTGTTTTCTGCTAGAAAGGCCCCACCCTTAAAACCCCCTATTAGTAACATTCCTCTTAACAGGTGACCTTGACTCATAGCTTATGAGAAGACATATATCGATCCCTGTCCCCTCTATGTAAAGGTGGCCTCGTTTTTTTGTTTCTAGGTCATCGTAAGGCCTTCCATTCGCTCGTATGCACGCCGTGCCTACCAATGGTTGTGACATAGATGACGACTGTTTGGCTCATAACGGAGAGATCTTGCTTCTGTTAGAATTGTTCGAATGATTTCCTTCATGAGTCATACTGCCTTCCCCAGGATACCTTTTCTATCTTCTGGCGGTACACTAAGTTGGCCATCTGGTT